ATCTCCAAGTTTCCAACATAAAAACTATTAGTTGGGTTACCTCTCTATTCTGGTTTTGGGCCTCTGTACGTTTGTGGGCTTTGGGGCAACTGGATGATAAATATGAAATAAGGATTCATAAAGGTCTTACCAAGATAAGTCTTAACTTAAAAGAAATAATTTCTTCTCCTAGATCTAATGGATTCTTCACACTGCAAGCTGAACCCTTAGTTGGCAGCAGCTCTGATATTGTAAAGACTTGTGATGATAAATCCTTAATTTGGCATAGGAGACTAAGCCATATTAAGTCTTAACTTAAAAGAAATAATTTCTTCTCCTAGATCCAATGGTATCTTCACACTGCAAGCTGAACCCTTAGTTGGTAACAGCTCTGCTACTGTAAAGACTTGTGATGATAAATCCTTAATTTGGCATAGGAGAATATACCATATTAGTGAAAAGGGATTGATGATTTTGAATAAGTTGAAATGCTTTGAAAAGATAATATTGATAGCCTCAAATTTTGTGAAGACTGCGTTGTTGGAAAACAAAATAAACTGTCTTTCAAAATTGGAATTCATAAATCCACTTATATCCTTGAGTATTTGCATGCAGACCTGTGGGGGTTCGGCCTCTGTAAGCACTCTAAGTGGATTTAGATTTTATCTGTTGATTGTAGATGATTTTTAAAGAAAAATTTGGACTTTTCTTCTGAAAACTAAAACTGATACTTTTCTAAATTTTAAGCAATTGAAACTTATGATTGAAAATCAAACTAATAAAAAGAGTTAAAGCACTTAGGACAAATAATGGCTTGGAATTTTGTAGCCATGAATTTGATTATTTTTGCAAAGAATTTGGAATCTTAAGGCATAGAACAACAACATACACTTCTCAACAAAATGGTATTGCTGAGAGAATGAATAGAACTTTACTAGAAAAAGTGAGGTGTATGTTACTCAGCTCTAAGTTTCCAAAGATTTTTTGGGGTGAAGTCTTAAAAACTGCCACCTATTTGATAAATAGAATCATTTCAAGTGCTATTGATTTTCAAATCTCTGAACACTTATGGTCTGGAGAGCCTCCTAGCTATTTCAAATTAAGGATTTTTGGCTGTGCTGCCTATGCTCATCAAGATGTAGGCAAGCTTGAACCCAGATCTCAAAAATGTGTTTTTCTGGGTTATGGAGAAGAAACAAAGGGTTATAGACTTTGGATAAAAGAAAAAGATGGGTTCAAAGTCATCATTAGTAAAAATGTTATCTTTGATGAAAGTCAGTTCCCTTGTAAGACATCTTCAGAGCAGAATACTGATCACCCTACTTTGGTTAAAGAAACCTTACTGGAAAATCAAATACTCGGTCAGACTGAACCTGATAATTTTATTGAGGTGGAGACTATTCAGTCTGAAAATGATCTATCTCAAAATGAATCTGAAACTGAGGAATATTTTAAAGGAATTGCCCTTGAAAATTATCAGTTGGCTAGGGAGAGAGGTAGAAAAAATTAGTTTCCTTCTACCAAGATCAATACTGATGAGTTTGTGACATTTTATTCTGAAATGGAATCTGTTGACTCTGAACATGTGACTTTTGAAGAAGCTGTTAATAGTAAAGACTCTAAGCTATGGCTGGATGCCATGCAAGATGAAATGGACTCTTTAATCAAGAGCAAGACTTGGATTCTTGTTGATAAACCCAAACATCAAAAGATTGTAGACTGTAAATGGGTTTATAAGATTAAAGAAGGTGAATCCAATACTTTGGGAAAGAGATATAAAGCCAGGCTTGTAGCTAAATGCTTCAAACAAAGAGGGGATATTGACTATAAGGAAATCTTTTCACATGTTGCAAAGTACACATCTATCAGAATTCTTCTAGCATTAACAGCTCATTTTAACTAGGAGTTGGACCAGCTTGATGTTAAAACTGCCTTCCTTAAAGGTAACCTTGAAGAAACCATTTATATGTATCAACCAAAAGGTTTTGAAGTTCATTTAAAATCTGAACATGTTTGCTTGTTAAAGAAATCCCTTTATGGCCTAAAACAGGCTCCAAGGCAATGGTATAAGAAATTTTATTCTTATGTTCAGCATTTGGGTTTTTCTAAAAGTAATTTTGATTCATATTTTTTCTTCAAAGGGTCAGGAGGACCTGATTCTGTTTACCTGCTACTTTATATTGATGATATGCTTCTTGCTTGTAAAAATAGATTTGAAGTTGATTATGTTAAAGAAAAGTTTAAAACTGAATTTGAAATGAAAGATCTAGGGCAAGCTAAGAGAATCTTAGGAATAGAAATCAAGAGAGAGAGAGAGAGAGAAAAAAAAAACTGCATTTTGTATGTAAATCAAAATTCTTATGTGAATAAAGTGCTTGAAAAGTTTGCCATGATTGAATGCAAATCTGTAACTTTGACTATTACAAACCACTTTAAACTCTTTAGTAAACAATGTCCTAAAACTGGTGATGAGCATGATAGAATGTCTAAAATACCCTATGCAAATGTTATTGGTTCTATTATGTACCTTATGATATGCACTAGACTTGACCTAGCTCATGGGATATGGGATAAGTATTCTTAGTAGATTTATGGCTAATCCTGGTGAAACATATTGGTTGGCTATTAAATGGATGATGAGATACTTAAAGGGCACAACTGAATTGGGTCTAAAATTTCAAAGGTGTAATGAAGGTGTTATCCTAAAAGGATACACTGATTCTGACTTTGCAGGTGATTTGGATAAAATAAGATCCACTTCTTCTTATGTGTTTACCTTATGTGATGGATGTGTTAGTTAGAAATCTCAATTACAGAAAATTGTTGCTCTCTCCTCTACAGAAGTTGAATATATTATAGCTTGTGATGCAATTAAAGAGGGGCTGTGGTTGAGAGGGATTTTAAATGAATTTGGTTTCATAAATGAAATGGTTAAGATTTATACTGACAACTAAAGTGCTATTCATTTAAGTAGAAATCATGTTTTGTTAGAAATATGTTTGAACAGGGTTTGATCAACTCGATTAAGATTCCAACAGAATATAATCCTGCTGATTTTGGTACCAAGGTTTTACCTTTAAGCAAGTTCAAAAACTGTTTGAAAATTCTGAATATAACTTGAAAGAAAGTCTAGCTAGTTTTTTATTTGTTTTTCTTTTTGTTTTTATTCTCTTCCAAAAATGACTATTACTTGGAGCAAATGCAACCAAGTAATTATGCCTATAAATCCACAAATGAATACTCAGAATCGATCAGCAAGGTGGAGATTGTTAGTTGGGTTGCCTCTCTACGTCGGTGGGCTTTGCTATGTTTGGGCCTTCAGTTCTATTTGTCTAAAATATGTAATCTTGGCCCTTCATCTGGCTTGCCTCTGGACCATTGTGTTAGAAACGGTTGCTATTCTAGGGTTTCTCTTTCTCTCTTCCTTCATATGATTCTCTCTGTTCTTCGTGAGATTTCTTAAGTGTAGATCCCTATAAATGTCTTAGTGATATTCATGATATATTTTGTATACATTAGAGTCTATTTAGAGAGATTTGTATAAGAGAGGCGAGAGGAAACTTTAGTGATACACTTGTAATTGTTCTTTGTGATTTTTAGTGGATTCGAGCATAATCTATTGCGTAGATGCTCAACGGGTGAGTAGGTTTTTAAGCTGAACATCCGGGCCCCAAAGGGGCAAAAATTCTTGGTCCTCTTACTTTCTGCAATTTCGTTTTGCTGTTCTTGTTTTTGAGATTGTAATATATTTGGGTCCTGAAACCAACAAAACCAATTTTTGAAATTTAATAAGTTTAATTATGGAGTAGATTTTATTAGCTATTTCGTCCATAAAAATTTTAGCTTGAAGAGCATCAAAATTTGCCCCCGTACATAGTTTACATATTCCTAATTTCAGTAGTTTGTGGAAAATTTTCCTTCCAATTTGAAGACCTAGAATTAGCTGGAAAAATTTCACAAACCGTCACTGAATTTTCAGAATTTTTGGGCAAGTTTTGCGGCGATTTTCCGACCACTAAGACCACCGGATTTGGATACCGTTGGAAAGCCCACAATGTCTTCTTCAATTACCACCAAAAATCTCCTCATAAATCCAAGGGATTCGATAGAAATATTCCCACGAAGTCGGCTTCCGAAAAATCTGAAAATCTGCCCAGATTTTCAGATTTTTTGGGTTAGCTTACGGCAACTTCCGACCACTAATACTGCCGATTTCGGATACTGTTGGAAAGCACACAATGTCCTCTTCAATTATCACCAAAAATCTCTCCATAACTCCAAGGGATTCGGCCGGAATAAACCCACGAAGTCAGCTACCTAAACAATCTGAAAATCTGTCCAATTTGAGTAGCTGACTTCGTGGGTTTATTCCGGCCGAATCCGTTAGAGTTATGGGGAGATTTTTCTTGGTAATTGAAGATGACATTGTGGGCTTTCCAACGGTATCCGAAACTGGTAGTATTGGTAGTCAAAAGTTGCCGGAAAATTGCCGCAAACTCATCCAAAAAATCTCAGTAGCCGACTTCGTGGTATATTTCGACCGAATCCCTTGGAGTTATGGAGAGATTTTTTGTGGTAATTGAAGAGGACATTATGGACTTTCCAACGATATCCAAATCCGGCGGTTTTGGTGGTCGGAAGTTGCCGAAAAATCACCGCAAAATTTGTCCAAAAAATTTGAAAATTCAGTAACCGTTTGTGAAAGAAATTTAAATTTCAGTGACCGTTTGTGAAATTAACCCGACAAATTTATTAGAGTTTAATTTCTGATTGAAGCACAACTCAGCTGCCCGCCCATCCCTCTCTACCACATTCAAATTATAAATTGGAACATTAAATTCTGCTGCCACCCCCACCAACTGCTTGTACAAGCCAATAAACTAATATCGCCTGTTTAATATTGACGACCATCAATCTATTGCAAAACTTAAATACGTTAAACATAATTTAAATAAATAATTTATATTTTTATAACCATTTAAATTTTTATTGATATGGTCAAGTGATCTGATAATCTCGAAATGATATTGCACGTGTCGATGGATTACACAAGATTTGAGCTGCGGAGACGGTTGAATTCGTCGGAATAGCCTAAAATTTTGACGTTCATCCAGTAATAGGTATTTTAAACGGTCGTCCACATCCCTTAGCATTCCCTTTTTGCGGAAACATCAACTAAAGATCCACTTTAAAGATCTCCTTCTTTTAACGGTAGCATAGTAGACAGATGCAGTGATTCATGCATTGATATACCCATATATGAAAATTGTGCATGAACTTTTGATGATAATATAAGTATGAAGTGCACATGAGGAAACTGTTGGATAAAATAATGGTAAAGTGCAGAAAAAACTTATCAATAGATCGAGTCTCGTGACAGCACGATGTCCTAAAGCGAAATTGCCCGTCGATAACTGCTGCGACCTCCGTGGACAATCACCTCCAGGATACAACGATCAAATAAACCAATTATGCAGCAATCATAAAAGGTTTTCAGAACTCTCAAGTGTACTCCAGAAAATAAAAGACAATTTGAGTATAATATTTTACTGTATATATGAAGAGACAATTTCGTTTTTGTTGTGTTTTTCTAATACCCAAAAGTGTGTTTATATAGGCATGAAGAGATGTAACTTCTTCCACCATGATCTAGCATTAAGTTGCAGATGTAATGACCTATGGTAATGGATATTAAAACTGGGCAGTTAAAACTGTCATATTTTACTGGCTAGTTGACCCATTAAATAATTCCGAAAATAATTAAAAAATAATAAGTATTTTATTAGAATCAATAAAGCCCAATCAAAGACTTTTTAATATAATGCGTGAGGCGTGGCTCGAACCCCTGACCTCCCACACAAATTCCACACTTTTCACCAGTTGGGCACTTTATCTTAATTCATTATTTCTTTCACATGTTATATTTATAGTATAAATATATAACAGAAACTTGTTGACAATTTAGATAAATATTTTTAACCGTCACGTACGAAGATTAATGAAAGGCTTTACATATAATAGATTAAAAATGTTATTTGTTACCTACCATCTTTATAAGTAGGTAGATAGGTCGAGAATGAATGCTCCATTTTTGCTTACCATAAAAGTGTGCTAAAGAAAGAAAGAAACAGGTGCTTCATTTAGCATAACTACACTTTATTCCTCATCTTATACATGGTTAATCTTTGATTTTCTGACACTTGGAATCCATCGTTTTCATCTGCTGGAAAGCATTTCCAAAGAGAAGAAGTTGAAGAAATCAAGAAGTTTTGGTATACTGCAAACATGGCTGCACCTTTGTCTGCTTGGCCATGGGAAATCTTGGGCAGTTTTAAGGTCATTTCACTACAAAAAACCTAGGATCAGTGTATAAATCGTATTATTTATGATCCTCTGTAATTGTCTTATTCATTCTGATACACACATTTTTTTTTTTGGTAACAGTACATGCTTTATGGACCTTTTCTTGCAAGAATACTTTACACAAGATATCAAGATGAAACCATCAAGAGCCCTAATTGGTGCCTACATATCATATATTTATGTTTGCTTAGAGGTTTCATGTATCAGGCGTGGACTTCTTACGCTAACATGCTTTTCCTTACACGAAATCGTGTGATTATCAAAACAGGAGTTGAGTTTAAGCAGATTGACAAAGAATGGCACTGGTAAAAATCAATATCTTGCTAACATAATTTTTCCCTATTTTTATAATTTATTAAGGGTTTTTTCTTCTTTTCCTCTTCTTTTTATTTGTTCAGGGACAATTTTATCTTGCTTCAAGCTATTGTAGCTGCTTTAGGGTTTTCCATGTTTTCAGATCTTGAAACACTTGGTGTATGGAACAAAAAGGGAATCATGGTAGCATTAATGCTACACGTCGTGGTTTCAGAGCCCCTTTACTATTACATACATAAGTGTTTTCATGAAAATAAGTATCTTTTCAACCATTATCATGCAGTGCACCATTCATCACCTGTACCACAAGTCTATACAGGTAATAGCTAAGGCAATAAATATCCATTTTAATTTGTACAGAAAATTTAACTTTCTGTCAACTCTTTTACTGTTGTCACTTGTCAATTATAGGACCATGCTAGTTTTACAATTGAAGTTGACAACCACTCACATGGGGGCTCCACTTTTTTGTTGTTGAATTTTTTAAACACGCGGATCCCGTACACATGTGAGAGGTTGTCAACCTCAGTTGTACAAGTAGAATTATCCCTCAATTATAACATCAATATTCAGGTTTTCAAAAAAGTTAATTAGCACAAAACGTCCTTACCTTTGGGGTGGATTTCAGAAACCGTCCATACGTTTTATTTCTTGGCATTTATACCACTACCTTCCACTTTTTGTGCGCTAAACGTCATTTTCACAACTTTTTGACGATTTTACCCTCCATTCAATTGAAACAAAAAGAAAAGAAAAGAGAAACTAAAGAATTAATTGCAATGATAACCCCAAATTTTTAAAACCTACTTTTGAGTCACAAAGACTAATTTTTTGCCCCCAACCAGCCGCCAACTTCAGAGCTATTTTCAGCCACCTTCTGACCACCAAAACCACCAAATATTGGCATCAATGGAAAGCTCTTAACCTCCTCTACAATCACCACCCAACAACTCCCCAAAACACCAAATAATCTTGTCGAAATCAACACTCAAATTCATCCACTCGAAAATCTGAAAACTGCTGGAATCTCCTCCTCCAGCCACCACCTTTGATGGCCAAAAACGTTGGCCAACCACCACCAAAACCACCGGACAGTAACACCACTAGAAAGCCCTCACTATGCCCTTCAATTCCCATGCAATATCATGCCTCGAACAGCCTTGAAACCGCTGAAAATTTGGACAAAAACCGCCTGCTCATTTTGCTAAAACCGGCCGACAACTCCTTTTTCGGCGATACCCATGCAAAGCCCAACATTCCAATCGATTCTCCACCTCAAGACGCCCCTTTCCATTGTCCACAACCGTCCTTATTGCTCAGAATCAACACGAGCAGGTGGTAGCTTCGAACACAGTGAAAATGCAACTTTCAGGCGGATTTTCTGGAACCGGTGATACTAACGACGATCAAGAACCACACCACTAGCACCTACTCCTCAAGGCGCATCCAATGAGCATATGTGTCTTCCTCAATTTGGCCGGGAAACGGCTATCCGTTCAGAAACAGGTTTAGCGCTGTGTTGGCTCCATTTTTTGATTTTTGTTCACCCACTGCCCCAATCAACAAATTGCAACCACCAACATTCAATTAAAGTTGCTAATACTATGAGTAATGGATCAATTGATTCAATTCGTCAGCCAATTAAAAGAATTTTGGATTTGGCCAAATTTTTTGGCCACCAACAGTTGGAAGTGGTTGTGGATGAGAAAATTAGTATCGAAAAGTAGGTTTTAAAAATTCGGGGTTATAGTTACAATTAATTCTTTAGTTTTTCTTTTATTTTCTTTTCTTTTCTTTTCTTTTTGTTTTACTTGAATGAGGGGTAAAATCGTCAAAAAGAAGTGAAAAGGACGTCCGGTGCACAGAAACATTGAAGGTAAGAACGACCTACGCACGAAATGAAAGGTATGGACGGTTTTCGAAATCCACCCCAAATGTATGGACGTTTTGTGCTAATTAGCCTTTGAAAAAAATAAATAAATAAATAAAATAACTGTTCATATTTATTATTTGTTTGTTTGTATTATTTCAACTTATGCATTTACATTTGGTCCTTTGCAGCTGGACATGCTACATTTTTGGAGCATCTTTTGTTGACAATTGTGATTGGAATTCCGATCATTGGTTCTTTTGTGCTAGGATATGGATCGATAAGCTTGATCTATGGCTATGTGTTGATCTTTGATACGCTGAGATGTTTAGGTCATTCCAATGTCGAAATCATTCCCCATCAGATATTTGATAAGATCCCATTGCTTAGATATATCGTTTATACCCCAACGTAAGTGAAATATAGAAGTTACCTGTTTGTCTTCCATACGCATAAATTTCATTGAAGGGCTATGTTCTGATTCATTTATTCCTGGTAAATATGGTTATATCTGCAGATACCATATTCTACATCATGTTGAAATGGGAACCAATTATTGCCTTTTCATGCCTCTTTTTGATTCACTGGGAAACACTTTGAACAGCAAATCGAGGGACATGCACAAGAAAATAAGTCTAGATTCAGGTTAATAATTATCTTGTCAATTATCTGTAATCAGCATTAAGAAACATGCAAACAAAACAAATTCATTCTAATGGACTTCAATTTTCATATTGTGAAAAAAAAAAAAAAATTGTAACTTGGTCAATTTTACTTGAAAATGCAGGTAAAAACTCTAGAGTTCCCGATTTTGTGTTTTTAGCACATGTAGTAGACATGTCATCGGCAATGCACGCGCCTTTTGTGATGAGATCTATATCATCTAAGCCTTACTATACAAGAATTCATTTGAAACCGTTCTTGCCAATTTCTTTTTTGGCGATGCTAATTATGTGGGCCAAGTCTAAGACATTCTTAAACTCATTCTACTACCTTAGGAATCGGTTGCACCAAACCTGGATTGTCCCTCGTTTTGGTTTCCAGGTTTGTAGCAATACTGATAAAATTTTATCTAAATTGGTGTATCAGTTTGTCATGAAAATTGCTACTAACTGGTTAGCTTAATTTATTTTTGCAGTATTTCTTGCCATTTGCTGCAGAAGGCATCAATAAACAAATAGAAGAGGCAATACTTAGGGCTGATAGATTGGGAGTTAAAGTTATTAGCCTTGCTGCTTTAAATAAGGTCACTTCTCTCTCCTGATAGTCCTGCACATTAAGGGACTTGTTAAACCCTAACGATCAATTGTTAACTACAGGCCTAATCAGTTTTGGTATGTCTGAATGTAGAATGAGGCTCTGAATGGAGGTGGGACTCTATTCGTGGACAAGCACCCAAACCTTAAGGTTCGAGTGGTCCATGGTAATACCTTGACAGCTGCCGCGATCCTCCATGAGATTCCTGAGGATGTGACTGAAGTATTTCTGACTGGAGCCACTTCCAAACTTGGAAGAGCCATTGCCCTTTTTCTTTGCAGAAAAAATGTCCGAGTTCTGGTACGTGAAACATGTATAATAGTAGTAAAGTACTCGTAATTATCGACTAGTATAGAATCCTTTTGAAACTTCATTGATCATCCATCAGACATTGGTTTTATCTTAATTTCCTGGAAGTATTATGCATTGTGTGCACAATTAGGGAGGTGAAAGATCTTTTAGGGTAATTAATCAAACTGAATTTTACATGTAATGTTGCAGATGCTGACTCTATCCACTGAAAGATTTCTAAAAATTCAGAAAGAAGCACCAGCTGATTGTCAGAACTACTTAGTCCATGTGACCAAGTATCAAGCAGCACAAAACTGTAAGGTATGTAGATCATAGCAATGAAATTAAATAAGATTAATTTTCAGGAAATATATAATTTCCTGCACGTTACTTTTTTCTTTTTATTTTGATATAGTCAGGCCAAAAATCATAGAAATTTTGACTTGAAATATGATATCTTTCTTACAGACATGGATAGTTGGCAAGTGGATCACGTCAGGCCAGCAAAGTTTTGCCCCATCTGGAACAAAATTTTATCAGTTTGTGGTTCCAGCAATTCGTGGATCTAGAAGAGACTGCTCTTATGGTACTCTTGCTGCCATGAAGTTGCCTGAGGATGTTGAAGGGCTAGGAGCTTGTGAAGTAAACCATCTTATACTATCTTCTTTTATAAATTAAATATTGAAAATCTTTAAGCATGTGATAAAGAATGCTGAACCGAACTTAAAAATGTGTCTCAAAATAACTAATACTACGCAACCTTGGTGCAGTATACAATGGAAAGAGGAGTAGTGCACGCCTGCCATGCCGGTGGAGTGGTTCATTATTTGGAAGGTTGGACTCACCATGAGGTCGGGGCCATAGACATTGACAGAATCGACATAGTATGGAAAGCTGCATTGAAACATGGTTTGAAGCCCATTTCCAGTATCAGAAAAAGGGTGAATTAGTAGCAGTAAAATTCTTATTGCTAGAATAAAAATGTTTTGTCTCGAAACAAGCTGAAAGTCATTTCTTCTAATAGGCTTGAAGTAGAAAATTCAGTTTCATTCCGATTTTATTGGCTTGTTCGTGTAATTGAATGATCATAACCTGTTCATATATTTAAGATGCTTTTGGACAGTTTCATTTCTTTAAGACTTCGAGAACTTTATCTTAAATGTCAACATTGTTAACACAAGTAGTTCAAATCAATATTGTTTGTATCAAATTTATCTTATGTGGCATTTATCCTTAAGCACCATCGTAAGCATTTTAATAGTTAGGGGAAAGAGGCTAAATGGTCTAGTCAAATGTGTCAATTAGAAAACAAAGCTTACCTTATAACTTCAGTCCTTGTTTGATAATTATACTTTTCAAATTCTTTTTTCTACATACTTATTTTCAACGGCACATTCACACAATAAAATATTGTGTACGTAAATCAAAATTTTTGTACTTTTTAACCATACATTCTCTTAAAAATCACTATTCAAAACACCCTTTTTTTTTTCGAAAGTATGGTTATCAAAAAGAGGTTTAAAGTGTTAAGGGACTCTATCAAAGAGAGAAAAAAATGCCCAACTTCAAGTTTAAAAATTACTAAAATAAGATAAAGGTAAAAAGGCCTTAAATATCCTTCCAATTACAAAAGAAAATTTCTCATAGTAATCCAATTTAAATTTAAAACAAATCAACGGCTCTTTCATTCTTCATCTAAATCTCTCCTCCAATACCAAAGTCACCCTAATTTCTATTCTATTTGCTCATACATATCTTCAAAACTCAATACAGGCATCTCGTGAACACTGATTAGAAGCCAACATTTCAATATTTTGAGTATGTAAGTAAATTCACAGCTTTTTGCATTTAGTTAGTTTATATTTCATTATTTTGAATTGGGTTATTGGCGCGAAACGTCCCTACCTGACATTTAACGGTGGATTCTAACGGGAGTTGGACGGAAGGACGTTTTGCGCAAAAAAATGCAAAGGTAGGGACGTTCTGCACCAAGAAATCAAACGTAGGGACGTTTTCCACAAGGACTATCATAGGTAGGGACGTTTCGCGCCAATAACCCTTTTGAATTTCATTTAATTCTTAAATGCTATTTTGGCTTATTTTAGCATGTTTAGATACAAATCTATGCAAATTTATGAATAATCGTGTCTATAACGGTTAAATTGACAATCTTTCATATATTTCCTTTTTCAAACGACAATTTTTCACATTTAAATTTTGTGCTAGATATACTAATACCCCATCACATCCATTTGAAAATCTTGGTTCAAACTCTTTACTATTGTGTAAAAGACGCTTCTTCTTTGTATTTATAGCAATTTTTTCTTTACGAGTATTGTAATGGGAATAGTTTTATTACTCCAAAGAAAGTTAGTTCTTCTTTTTCAAAAGGAACTACATATGGATTTGGTACTCCTTGCAGCTTGTTACTTTGGTGAGTTTCTAAGGTATTGTTGCACTTCATATATTAGCTAATCTCTATCATAAATAGACGTGAATCGTGATGTACAAAACGTCCTCCTCGATTCCTCTGAATACGAGATGGAGTTCGCCCGGTCAATTCACATTTCTTAGTTCCATCGATAAAAATTACTTTTGACTTGCAAGTGAGATGACTAGTTCAACTGAACAAGTCATGCTCATCTTCGCATAAGTCTTGTGATGAAGGATATCGTCAAGAATGAACATGAAGCAAGTGATGAAATGAATCACAATATGCTTAACTTTTTGGACACATTAGAGATTGTTGGGAGGATGACATAGTTATTCCGGAGCTAGTTGCTACACATTAGGATCTCATTGTGACGCATAGATCCCACGAGATAGTCTAAGATAATGAGTAGAAAATTTCATTTAAAAACTAGATCTCATTGCTTTATCTACCCATGGACACGAGTCATGTGAAAACTCTCATAATGGACCCAGTTTACGATCTTCTCAATCTTCACCTATTATTCTCGAATGATAAACATTTGCAGGTTAACCATCTATTTGACACCAAGAACAATCTTCAGGAAATTGTGCAAATGATTGCAATGAAACACAACTTGAAGTTCAAAGTGAAAAAATCAAATAGTATCTACACGATTATTTATATAGATAGCAATGAAATTCACAAACAACAAAGTTTAACACAGTTGATTTCTTTATGTTTCACCGTTATGAAAGCGAACATAGTTGCGAAGTGGGTATTCATCGCAGTGATCACATACAAATAAGATCATGGGTTATTGTAAGCCATATATTGCACAAGTTTCAAGACCCAAGAACAATTTATAGACTTGTAGACATCATTCATGACATCAATTGGGAGGTTATGGTGGTCATGAGCTACTAGAAGGTCTAAAACGGCTAAAGAATGAAAATTAAAGGATATATTGGATTCACCCAAATAGAATCATGCTAAATTGACCACATATTATCATGACATGGAGGGAACTAATCATGGTTCGACATTATTTATTGAGATCGATGTCAACAACCGCTTCAAATACTTCTTCATGGCTCTAGAACAATGTATTTGAGGATTTAACTCTTCAATGTAATGCCTAATTCTAGTCGATGGAACACCTTTGAAGCCTAAACTCAAAGGTATGATGATTATTACTCATCTCAAGATGCGAACAATTAAATTTATATTATTGCATTTGGTATAGTCAATTTCGAGAATGATGAATCGATGAATTGATTATTCACAAAGTTGGGGAAGTATCGAGGGATATAGAGAACCTTACTTTTGTAGCTGATTGAGATAATAATATAAGAAATGGTATCAGTGATGTTTATCCCGATTCACATCACAGTTACTGCTTACACCATATACAAGGCAACCTCAAAACCAAGTCTCGAATAATCGAGGTCATGTGAATGTTTAGGAGAGCGACAGAGGCATACTGTTTTGCAAATTTCAATAAGTATATGGGTGAGATACTTAGGGGGCGTTCTCTTTGTGTTTCCGTTTTGTGTTTTGAGTTTTGAATTCATTTTGTGTTTTCTGTTTTGAGTGTCTGTTTTGGAATTACTGAAAACTCGTTCTCTTTGTCATTCTGAAAAACTGTTTCTGAAAATAGAAAACTAGAAAACGCGTATACTTTGAAATTTTGAGAATCTTTTTTTTTATAATATTTTTGCCTATGGATTGGCGGCCTTCACATAAACAATTCATCACACACTTTGCCGTCTTCAATCCAAAGCCATGATCAGCAAAACTTTTTTTTTTCGAATGGTGGTAATCACACGATTGAACAAGCAAGAACAGCATACCCCCTCCAATTCATCACACACTTTGCCAAATTTTTCGAATGTTGATTAATTCATTTTCTGTTTGTAAATTGTTTAACCAATTTTATCCATTCATCTCCAAAAGCCCACAAAGGAATTGCAGACCAAATCGGTTCCAGGCTGGGATTAAATTCTCAAACATACATACCCCCTCCAATGGTGGTGGCTGCCCAGTACTGAAGAAACCAGAAAGGAGAAGACGCCGGCCAAGCTTCCGAACAAACCGCCACTCCATCCAACGCACACCAAATATACACCACCAAACCCACCACAACAAACCGAAAAAACACCAACAAAACAACAGAAGGAAAAAGGAAAACACCCACCATCACAAGGAAAACCGAGATTGGGACCAAAACCATCGCCAGTTGCAGGAGATCCCGAAACTGACCAAGGGTTCCCAAACCCTCTGCAGATCCAGCAAAAACCTCATCGCGACTGGCAGGGCTGCGACGCAGCCTCTGCCCCACCTGGGTCACTAACCCACTCCAAACCCACCACCTCTACAGACCAAGGCCCGAGAGGGGCAAACTAGAATTTTGCGAAGAAAATCTAGGAAGAAAACCTCACCTGCGAGAGAGAGGACACTGCAGTCTATTTCTTTGCAAACTTAACTAAGAATTTGCTCGAGGAATTGTTGAATAGCGTTGGGCATGTTGGTTTTTAAAAACGCCATTTTCCGATTGAGGAGGGGGGATGGAGGGTTTGGGGGCGGAGGATGAAGAGGAGAGAAGAGAGGGGAGGATGAAGAGGAAAAAAAAAAAAAACCCCTTTAGTGAATTACAGGCAAATGGACTCGAACTCACGACCTAAAAGAAATCGGAGCCTCTACCAACTAAGCTGGCACACTGTTTTTTAAAAACGCCATTTTCCGTGTTTTTAAAGTTTTTCGGTTGTTTCAACTGAAAATGCCAAAACGACTTTTTCATCATTTTCCGTTTTCTTTGTTAAATTTTAACTCATTTTCAGAAACTTGTTTTCGAAAACGCTAAAGAGAACGCATTTTCACTGTTTTGAAAAATCGAAAACAGAAAACGGCTTGAAAACACCAAAGAGAACGGCACCTTAGTAAACTAGAAGACACGTGAATATTCAATCAAAATTAGAGTTGAACATTGGACACTATCACACTTTACAAGAATTTGGTACAATATGATGATATCAAACAATGAGTAGTAGTTGTATTCATAGAAAGATATGGAATTATTGGTTCTTGCAATGATCGAGCACATCCGTAGCAAGTTGTAGGAATGATTTTATAATGTGTAGATTCACCAATGTATACATGCATGTTAACCTCGAAAATGGAAGAAAAACATTTTAAGATCTCGATGTGATAAAAAAGGTGTTGGTAGAGCCCCTAGACCAATTTGGAGTGGAAACAACTTGAGAGATGTTGTGAACTTGATTGATTACACTTGTACGTGTGAAAATTTCCAATTGGAGAGTTTTTCAGGTGTACATGCATTAGTCATCATTATACATGAAGGGTTTCCATTTCACACATGTTCTATCATTATTACAAAGCTAATTTTGGGAGAGCAGCATGTACCCAAACTATATTTTTCATGTTAAATAACGTTGAATGGGAAGTTCTCGACCATATTAGTTGTGAACGAAGAAATAACATGTTATGATCGTAATCTCATCCTCTTACCCAATACTTCAA